CTTCGCACTGTAATTTGTCGAGGAGCATCGAGAAATTTCAGAGACTGTGAAGACGTCTACTTCTCTGACAATTACTCAGCTTTGCCACATGAAAATATACATAATGCTACTAACATCTGGTGAACATGAGGCCAGTGACCTTCAAGTGTTCAGCGTGTGCTTACTCAACCCGCATGGCACAATACTTTTGTGCGCATTCAGAGCATCTGGCTTCCCAATTGGCAAGTGTCTACGCGCTCATAACGTTGTCTTCGATGACCATCGTAATACACTCGGTTCTTACTTGAGCGACAGTTTTGAATGAAGGCCTTTCAGTGTTAATTGATTCCGATTTGCTTAATTTGCTTCCTTGGCTGCTAGGAGTCAATTCACAATATGCATGATATTGTGTTGGAATTTGGTGCCCGCGAGAAACAGACGAGCAAATGCACACAAATGTGGCAACTGTGGTGGAACGACGATCTATTCCAGGAAAACTCGAGTTCTCAACAAGTCCCTTGCGATAGCTAGAATGATAGCCAATAAATTGAAAAGCAAACATTGTGATAAAAGGAGAACGTTTAGTTGGACATGTTGTGTCGACACCCCGCGACTGCTTCCACCCACTAACGGTAGTAGGAACACGAACGATGAGGGACTAGGATTCCAAGGCTCTTTTACCTAGGGAAACCACTTCGTTATGTAGCATGACACACAAAGGTGAAAGCTAGTCAGAGTATGGAAGGAGTGCGGACAAGTAAAGCCAATAAGGACTGGACCGTTAAGGAACCAATCAGATGCACACAAGGAACGGAAAAAGACAGTGTTGGCGTCAGAATTGGGCTGCGATTTGAAGGCAAACATAACAACTAACAATAGCCAATAGGGATAGCGAACTGATACGTTAACGCAAACAGTGAACCACCAGAGCACAGCGAAACTCTGTGATCCTGAACGCAAGCAAACCTATTTGTAGTACTTCTCTAACAGAACTCACTAGTGTTCACATTAATGCATTCAAAAAATAACCTAACTTGGTTTCTCAAGCTAATGCCGGCCAGCGGACCGTTTTCACATTATAACGTCTCTCTCTCGATGTTCACTGGCTATACTTCGTAATGTAGCCGAGTTATGGCAACCTCAAGGCGTTTTTTAAACACCTAATATAGGGGTGCTGACGCGAAGAGAGTGGGAGTTTCGGCGACATTCCGGGCGGATGTATTTCATGACCGACATGAGTTAGCGGCTTCTCGGGTTCGTACCAATTTGCGGCAATTGATGTTTACTACGAACCTGGTAGGCCATCATTAGGCCGCCCCGTAGGTGCCCATACTGACCGCTGTACATCCTTTGAGGTCCTCAGCCTAAGTTACTATGGAAGGTGGAGCAATCTTTTGGTGGGCTTGCTGGCCCTTCGTTATAGAGTCTCGACTGCTGTGAGAGCTTACCTGTGCCGGGAATGCCAGGCCTGGATAGCGAGCTACATGAGGCCAAGCGTATGCGTTAATCATCTGCTCGCAGACAGATGGATCAAAACGAACGAATGCCCTTCACAGTACACCAGCGTGTTGGTTTCCGGTATTTGGCGCCTTCTCAGGTTGTTTTCAGCAATTCAAGTCAGCCTGAAACAGAACCACAAAGTAGCGCTCTCTGTGACCGCTTGCAGTACGTGGTCTCCTAGCGTGTCTGTGTTTTTCACCTGATGACGAATGTGGACCACCTTACATTTGGGTTAATTACACTGAACCAGATTGTGGAATGACCATTCATACGCGCTGTCAAATTTCCGTTGAAGTGTAGCATGAGCTCCTTGTTTGGCGATCGTTTACCACGTCTTACTGGCATCAGCGCAAATCTAGAAATCCAAAGCGATCAGATGCGTACGCTCTTGATTGAACACGAGAAACAGATGCGGTCCCTGAACTGATCCCTACGGAACCCCACATTCTATATTAATCAGCTGAAACAGTGCACAATAAACTTTAACGTTCAGTTGCCGATGTTGCAGGAAATTCGCGCTATATACAAAGACATGATTCTCTACTCGTACTTTTCGAACCAGTGAAGCAGAATACCGCGGTCGAATTAGTCGACGACTAGAAAAATCGAGATACATGACACCGATGCCTGTTCCTTTGTCTTCCGCTTCTGTTCAATTACCTCGTACAATCACTAGGTTGGTTGTGTATGATCAGTGCCGACGCAAACCATGCTGCTACTGTGCTGTGGTTATGCAGCGTTTCAGATGGTCAGCTAGAGCCTCAGCGATGGCTACCTTCATCACCTTTGGGATTACAAAGAGAAGGATCACTGGGCGATAGCTTATGAATTCCGAGCGACTGCCTGTTTTAAAAATTAACGTGACTACTCCATGTCTCCACATAGAATGCACCATTAGTTTATCCAAGCACTTTTATAAGAAGCGCGATAATGGCTGGTCCAGCGCTTTTGCTGCTGCATTCAGCGCTCTCGAGTGAATGTCATCAGTCTAGGTGAACCGTTCATATGCGTGCAGACCAGCTGCCTCACCTCAATTGTTGTGGTAAACTTGTTAAAAGTCTCGTGTCAGTGCCAATTCAGACCTCGTCGATCTTCCCGCCTTGCGTGTTTGCGTTCGTAACCACGACCATTTGAATCCATAGGATATCATGTACCACATTTGTTTGGGCGTTCGTTTTTGCGCGAACAAATTGACACTATAATTAATGCATCCAAATGGGCTTTACATACAGTGGGCAGTTCACTCAACTAAATACCGTGTATCCTTGTTTTATACCTAACTTGCGCTATGAGCTTGCAGTGTCCTCTGTATTATGCAGCTTCACTGTCCTTATTTGAGTTATTGAAATTCGCTGCAGTACCTTACTCCCATAAGTTTATCAGCGATACATTGAATGTGCAGTAAATAGGCACACCTCTCTCCAAATCCTTTTCAGTTAATCGAGACGTGATAGCTTGCACAAGTCGAATTCGGTTTGCGAATGTTTAGCACAGTACCTATCGCTGTGACCACACATCATATCCCGTACTTCCAGTGACGCGACACAATAATGACGTATCAGATCCTGATAATTCCCAGAAAAATTTGCTACCACTTTCCAAACCTTAACCTCAGTGCCACATTGAGGGACCATTAGTTGAAGTTGATCGCGGAGTACGGTCGCTTGGAGTGCTGTTGCCAATCTTCCTCTTCTCGTGTACGCCAACCGTGGAATGTGCTGCCTACTTACATTATTTATTCCCCCACATCACGAATGTTCAGAGAACTCCTTCACGAAGAGCTCCTACATTTATGTTACCGGATATAGCCCATTTTGAATGAGCGTCAACATAAAAAGACATTTGGTGGACCAAGTTAAGCTTCCTGATGAGCCCACCAACACCTGCGTTATGTCGTTGGCAATACTTTTTGCAATTTATCCACCCTTTCATCCTACGGATATAGTCAAGCATTAACTTTCTTTACCCATGATAGGCTATTGTTTCCACTTGTCTGCGACAGTGAGTTTGCCATTCAAGAGAAACGATTCTGGCCAATTGAAAATCACTCATTCTCTATCACTGGTGTTGTTGGAAGGGTATGTTATTTTGTATGAAGTACACTAAGCACAGCATAATGGTTGGTACAGGGTAATTCCATATGAAGATTATGAAGGATGGTTATTACAAACCTCTTAATGGCCTGTGAAGTTGATCCTGACTGCACAACAAACTGGACAAGGAGCCAGCTTTCGAACCTTCATCGGTCGTCGAGCACCAAATCTAGACATCATAATAATGCAAAGTATCAACAGGAGAGGGCAACAGAACTGGGCTTGCAGTTGGCACAACAAAATTGATGTCCTATGGAGAATGTGGAACGTGGAAATCGCCCATTTTTGGAAGTAAGCCTGATTTGCATTCTTAAAGTTAATACTCAAATCGAATGAACTCAGTGTCCGTGTAAATTTTCATGAGCAGGTAGAGTCAAGAAAGAAGTGTCTACAACCGCCACATGTGTTGTGAGGATTCCGTAACCAGAGTATTTCGCCTTTATCGTAATTCTGCCTGATGTAACTGCAGATGCCCAATTGGCCGGCCAGGTGAAATATGATGTCTTCAAGTGTAGTGATGACGAAACCCCCAATAATTTCAACTGTCGTCTGCATCTTGAGCATTTTATTATGCGCTGATTAGCTGTCTATTATGCCGGTTTTCTTACTCTGGACCTCCTCACTTCCTATTGGCAAGCTAGCCTACGGGACAATGTGCGTTGCGCTACGTCTTACCATAGCCCTACTAACACATTTAGTCTGGTTACAATACCCCTAAACCACATGTACGAAAAATTGCCAACTGTCGGCTTGCTTGCTTCCAACCGTGCGTCTTCTGCAAAATTAAAACCACGCATTTGGGGGACAGAACAGTCCCACAAAATCACGAAATTTATTCTGTTCACCAGGGAGCACATTTATCTGCTATCTTGAACATCGACTCAACGATCGGGTCGCATCTCCCATAAAATCCACTGTTCCACATATTACATCTCTCATAACTTTGGACGGCAGTCACGAAGCGTTCTTCTGATTGCTTCGATCGACATGATCGGAATGACTGCCTATGAGTGTGGTTCCAACGAAAACGCCCCCTTCGGCATTTCGGTGTGCGTAGATCGATCGGCGAAGGTTTACTGCCACTTCGCAGTGTCCAGTGTGCGTGCATCGACCGTAGTGCGTGGATGGTCAGAGGAACGTAAGCTTTACACCCACTCCTCCTCCGGCTTGGACCCAGTATTGGGGCAATGCGCACAGCACTGGAAGTCGGTCGAAAACATCGAGGTGCTGTACCAGTCTAAAGGGAAGCACACATGGCCTAATCCCCACCTTCATTGGTGAATGGCATACGGACATGTGTGACCACACATGCATGTAAAATAAAGATTCTGGGCGTATGGCCCATTCCTACGGAGATAGCTAACCCACCGGTTCGGTTCCTATCGCATTTGTCTTAGCGCTTGATACTCTACGCCTGATCTCTTAACTATGGGTGAAGAAGTGAGTCCGCCACGTATCTTCATTTTGTTCCTGAACTTGATCTAACGTACCCGGTAATGAAATGTAATTGCATCGGCTTATCATTTGAAAATCAAGTTTGTATTGGCTGCACCTGGTTGTGTTATCAGCTCAGGTTAGAGACTGTATGTGCTTGGTTCGATTGTGTAACAGACTGACGTAGCTGGTAACTGTGCCACTGTACCGAAGTCATCTTATACGCTGAATAGCTGTAATCCAACGTTCTAAAAGCTAAAGTTAAGTCAGTTTTTGTGCTAAACTTTCCTGACTATCAAGATTAACATTTCATTTTTCTAGTCCACATTGTTGTATTCAAACTTCCGTCTGTATAAGTATGAACATTTACAACACTATGCTTACATTGCTTTTCCCTTATTAACAAATACACTACCTCTAAAGGTAAAACACAGTGAACGAATGTTGATCGAGTTGCTCAACTGGCCAACAACCAAATCCTAACGAGTTTGAGAGAATAGTACAATATGTTTCGAGACATGTGTGATATTTTCAACAAACGACCATGTATTCAGTAGCGTTCCTCATGTCTCACCTAAGCCCTGTGGTCCCTGAAGGGTGCAGACATGGTTTACCTCGTTGTCTGTAGTTTGTATGATGCGGGTCCAAGGTGTGACAAAAAGAATAGAACTTTCTCACGCATTTTTCTGCTTCCCTTGATGTGACGTACGCCAGATCAGCCGGAAAAAGCGCGGAAACATTGTGAAATCCTAATTCAGAACTATCACTGGTTTTAGCCGGTGATCACGCTGCACCATCAGGGATGACTGCAGGGTTGTGCCCAATGAATACATAAATAAAGTATATGGTGTATTCCTTGATGGTGCGAGGTACAATCTAACTAGCTAATCTAAACAGTGTACACAATCAAGAACTCGTCAGGCGCTGAGGACTTTTCTCACTGTTTTGTTTGTTGTAGAAGAAAGAAAAGAAAGAGAAAAAAGAGAAAAAAGAAAAGAAGGAAAAGGAAAAGGAAGATGTGGACGCGCCAGCAGAGGAGAAAAAAGAGGGAGGTGGTGGTGGCAAGCGCGCTCAACGCGCCACCTCGAACGTTTTCGGCATGTTTCCTCAAAACCAGATTCAAGAGTTCAAAGAGGTCTATTTTCCTATCTGTCGTGGTGTATCTCCAACATTTCTGTATTATAGGCATTTACCCTCATCGATCAGAATCGTGATGGATTTATCGATATTGAGGATCTAAAAGACATGTACGCCTCGTTCGGTGCGTGATTTATGTTCTCCGTATAACCGAAACTACTGATTTCACCCTTCAGGTCGAACCGTTGCAGAGTCTGAACTCAAAGAAATGCTTGATGAATCTCCAGGCCCGCTGAATTTCACCATGTTCATTACGTTGTTTGGTGAGAAACTCAGCGGTTAGTTTTTCATGCATCCCGAATACGTACCCTTCTTTAGGGACGGACCCAGAGGATGCCTTGAGAAATGCCTTCGCAGCATTTGACCCCGGAAATAAAAGATACCTAGAGGAGGAATAGTAAGTTTCCAATTGGTACATAGCCGTACATTATTTTTATTTCAGCATCAAGGATCTCCTCCAAAACATGGGTGACAATTTCAGCCAAGAGGAGGTGAGCAATTTTACCGTCTTTTGAGCATTCTTCTCTAACATCTTGAATAATGCTTGATGGAATAGCCAAAGTAAATTAACGCTGTTTGCCATTTGTACAGCATAACCACTGAAGCACTCACCTAAATTTTGCAATGGTGTCTGTGCGTATCTCAGAATCGTCAGTCTTACCGGGCTGCTGTACACGGTTAGCGAGACAAAATGACCATCCTGTGTGTTTGCGAAGGTTCGTGGCATGCTGAAATTCACGTAACTTCTCTGCAATTTCATCACAAACTAACAGGCGTTTATGTTGCTATTTCTACCACTCTGCTTCAAGAATGGTCTTCACTTTCAACATTCTGACCAATTCGGTTGTGCAGTATAACGTCGAAACTCACCAAAACTGAGATTCTACCGACGACCGATGTTTACCACCGGGACGCGATGACTCAGAAGTGACTACAAAACTGCAGTGGCAGGCTTTGTTTACTGTTCTGAATAGTCTCACAGTAAAAAGGCGTTAGTCTCCAACCATCACATACTGGGTTCTATTCTCAGCTCCGGTATTCTCTTCACCCGTATAGTCTAAGCAAAGAAGAAACTGGGTCGTGGTGTCAATAAAGTCGAAAAGCTTTTACTTCGTATGGTGAAAAGACTACAAATTTTCACTTGTACGGTACTTAATTCTAACCCTACTGATAGCACTGGGATAAGTGACATTCTTCTTAAATGAAACGTCTGATCCGTGAATCTGGATGGATGAAGGTGGAGTACATGCGACACACCGATTGAGCTGCTCTCTCACTATACCATGAAACTCTGTCTGTGTAACACTTCACTACATTGCCCAAGTGTTTTGATTCGCACTCTAGGTAATATGATCTGTTTGCATCCCGACTGCCTGGCTAGGGTCCTAAGGACGGTGTACACGTTTGGTTGGACACACTTGCTGATATGGCTTGGAGCCGGCCCCAATGGCGCTTGTGTTGTGAGTTCCTTTGTCCATCCCCCTCCTGCTTAGCATCCACCTCCAATCACGATTTCACTCGTTAAGCATAACATAACTCTCTTTTTACGGCACGACAGCCAGCTGTTAGCTCTCCGGAACAATGTCCATCCGTTAATGGGGACTCATCCGGCGTGTCACTGTTTGTTTTCCTTTTCTTGTCTTTTGTATTGCGGCACAATAGCTGAGGTGTTTTCCACCTGCAGCTAACGTGTATAATGATGATGATGAATATGATCTGTTTAGCCTACTTAAATTTCTCTTCCAGATTCGTCAGACATGGAAAGAAGCACCTATCAAGAATGGGAAATTAGACTATGATCAATTCGTCACTCTAATCAAACGTGGCAATCAAGATGTCTAATCAAAAACCATCCTTTCCGTCCACCCATCACTTTCCCATTTAACCCCCTTCCAACTCAGCATACATTCGTTTTTGCATCCCGGCTATCATTGCGGGCATAATTGTTCTTCAACTGCGAACTTTTCCGGCATGTTTTCTGTCTGCTTATCCCTAGAAGAGTAAACTTATTCCATTGACCTGTCCTCAAAACGGTATCCTTTCTTTACCCGAGTGTGTTCATGGTTCGTTTCTCTACCGCAGTCGGTGTTCACTTAACACGATATCCTCGTTTCGCCTTCAGAAATTCGAAATGTTGGCACCCTTTGACGCCGTATTCATTCCTCTACTATTCATGCAACAGCATCCCCGCACCCTCCTCTCTTGTGCATAATTTCAAGTGTATTAGCCCCTATCTTGTCCGATGTTTGCCTGTTAGTGTGTTTCGTTCTATTCGTCTGTATGGCACGATGTGAACTACGGGTTGGTAAGCACTTTTCCCACTCATGTGTCAAGCTGAATCTAGTTACCGGGCATTCCACTTTAGTTCGTGTCTCTTCGGTCGGATAAATGTTCGGTTATCAAATGTGGCAACACATTCGTGTAGCCCTTTCCTCTCTCTCCACCTCTCTCTACGCTGTACTCCCGCGCCGCCAGTTTCTGCGCATGCTGGATCCATTCGGCTGTCGAGCACGGATGACGGTTTCATTTGGAGACCGGTCTATTTTTCGAAACCGGTCTCCCGAACCAACGGCGTTGATCTTGAATGGGGAAGTATTCCAAACGGACTTTTTGGTCCTGTTTCAACCTTGTAGCCACACGCACATGAATCCACACTGTTACCTTTTAGCATCAAGTATATTCCCGGATTTTGAAAATAAATCTCTTTTATTCTTTGTTTATCTTGTTTTGGCTGTTAAATTGTTATGCACCCTCTACGCGGCGCACCCACGTCGAAGGATAGGTGAACGAAGTGGTTTCACTGGACGCGACGGAAGTGCATGTGCGTGGGATGGTGTCAAGGCAGTTCCGGGCTAATATCGACCGACTTAGTGTGCACACCGTAGCGACGGTAATAGGCTGTCGTCCACCAACTTGATCCGCCATCCTACAACCTTGTGCTGGTCCGTACTGAATTTAGTCGTACTTACGGTTGCTTGATTTTCCGGTATTCACCAGCAGAATGGGTGCCAGTGAAAACGCCTCGGTGAGGTAACCAGTCATCGTAATCGACTTTTACGGAGCGAACCAACAATGTGGGTAAATTCTAGTTATCACTGACCCTTGACATCATACTAGGCAAATGGATTCCATCTTATTTGTACGCTCGAAAATTGATCAGCCGGTTGGGTGTCAGAGTCCAGATAGCTATCTGGCACTTCACAAACCCAACGATGTGACAGTCATCTGCCATGTAAAGTTCGCATAGTTTGTAGTAGACAGTAAGTGATACTGCTGTCGTCAGAGCACCGCCCGTGTGATGGCTTGGGGAGATAACACACTTGTGGCATACTGGCCTTCTACGCCTCGGATGACTGTTTCTCATATGTGCAATTGACCAGCAAGGAAACCGTAGGCAAAGTAAGTTGCCTTCATAATGCCACGTTGTACACAATTAATCATGAGTTCGACCTTCTCAACACCAGTTTTTGGATTATTATTGATCTCACATTGTCAGAGGCCCCCTCTGGCCCAAGTGAGCACAGTCTTGTTCCAAATGTTGTGCCTCCACCAACGTAGTAGTTACTTCACTATATTTTGAGAGTACGGCGTGGATCAGCCTGGGCTCGATTGGTGGATCGCGCATTCCAATGACGAATATAGTAGCCCGACGTTGAGGTTGATCTAGTTCAGTGGGGTCCTGTTTCTGTCATGCATGACGGGCTTGAATTGCGTATTTGATATGGGGTCGAACATACGTACCAAACATATGTCTGCAAATAGTGGTCTATTTGTCCGAACGTCCTTCGCAACAGCGCGACATGTTGCGTACTAGCTTTCGATGCCTTATCGGATTGCTGGGAGCAACGCAAGTTATCCTGAACCAGCACACCCAGGTTGCGTTCGAGAGAAGATTGCCAGAGTACTTGCGTTCCTAACCCGTAAGAGTCGGTACTCTGGCGACGTATAGAAAGCATTTTGCATTTGCTCACGTTGAACGGCAGCAGATTTTTGGTTGACCACTCATGTGCCATATCGAGGTCAAACTGAAGCAAATTTTGATCGGCATCCGCCTAAATCCAACGCCAAATCTTGGCTTCATCGGCAAACAGTAGGATACTTGAAGTCACTGCCGGTCTAGGGTCATAAATACCACAAACAATCATGGACCTAAAACTGAGCCCTGAGGCACACCACACTCGACTGATATGGAGTCAGATAAGGAGCTCCGAATCCTGTTCAATAATGGTCGTTGAAGGAGAAATTTGGTGATCCCACTCAAGGGGCGGTCACCGATTGTGCTTTATTGGAGCTTAGAAAGGAGAGTCAGATGATCTAAACGATCGAATGCCTTTGACAAATACAAGGAGATCACGTCAGCACCCACTCCAAAGTTAACTGACACGGTCCAACTACTCCGTGCGATTAATAAATTCGTTGTGCACAATCGCTGTAGATGGAAGCCGTGTTGCTCGGGAGCAATAGTGATACAATTTTCCAAACAACACACCAGCGCACTGGCCACGATGGATTTCATGACCCTCGATAGTACAGGAAGAAGTGATAATGTGCGGTAGTTTTAAGTGCTCAGTACTGCTTCCGCCTTTGTGAACCTGAGTTATTATACGAAGTCTCCACATACAGGAACTTGGTTCTGGTTTAAGTAGCGCTGGATAAATTGAGCCAAAGGTTCTGCCAGTTGTCTTGCTGTTGTTCCCAGTGCTTCTGGGAGAACGGGGGGCCATTGTTTCGCATAGAGGTCAGCGTCTACAAGGCAGCTTCAATAGTAAAAGTAATGCTGGTAATTCCTGGAGAAGAGACAATAAGTGCTAAAAGATCGGTTGATGTAAAATCCCTCTGAAATAAGTGGATTTATTGCATCCGCAACGCGTTTGCCGCTTCTGTGGCTTTTCTTATTAGACCCCATTCGTCCATACTGGAGGAGTTCCCTACCTCACTTTGCGAAAGCTACTCAGTGTTTGTACAGCAGTTTGTGGTTAGCGCTAAAAGTTTACGCCATGTTCTGCTGATATGTAGTTTTGTCTTCGTTGAGCAGTTGAGCGAAGTGATTACCTTGGAGTACGTAGTTGTCCCAACTATCTGGTGTTTAGATATGATCTGTACTCTCGCTATGCTACGTTGCGTGCTAACATCTATTTACGAGTTCTGCTCCTTACAAAATAAATGCTTTTAGCATCATGGCAAACTCGTGTCCCCGAATCATTTGTAACCAGTTGCATGAATTTGTGACGAAGTTGAGCCAGACGACTTCCGGGTGTGAAGTTGTAGCTTACATATCTTCCAGTTTTATTCGTTCCGGTCTTCTTAGTAGGTTGTGCCCAAGTGACATCCGTGCAAAAAATTGCAAGTCGGCTAGGTGAGAGAATACACTGGGGTCCCGAAATTTGATTGCTTCAAAGGCCATTTGTATTTCACTTACTATCCTAGTTCATGTAGTTATGAGCCTCAACGAATACAATAAACGAATGACGGGCCACGGTTGTTTGGGATCGATATGCGCAGACGCTACTACATACGTCATGGCTTCACACACAAGTCAACTACTCACCTACATGCGTTGTTGACCACCAAGCTTTCTCGGTTCGTAGCTTGGAGGAACACCGCGCAGGCGCAGTCACACACTTTGAGTGTGGGCATCGGGTTGCGTATGTAGCAGTCACAGTTCCACATGTCCCGACAAAACGTGTGAAACAAGTGCCCATCAATTCACATGTTTCTACGCCTTGCCCAAACACGGAGACAGCACCCCAACTATGGTACACCCACAACAATCAGACAAAAAATCAGACCAACTGCAACAATAGTCTCAAAGACAAAAGATCGTTCTTGACGCTGCACACGGTTTCATGACCAACGCCTCTCTCATTGATTTAAAAATTCGGTTAACCAGGTGAGTGCAGCATAAGATTACCGTGAGTCAAAGTGCTCAACATGAATCCGTGCATCGATTTTGTATTCGCTGATGATGTCGGCCCGTAGGCTAGAGGTAACGAGCTTCCCTCGTAACTTTGCGACACGGGTTCGAATCCGCGTAGGGGTGGGCGTCCTCGCGGTATACTCAGCCTGCTTGCGACTGGTGGTACTCGTACGGCAACGAAGCGCTGTTACGGCGCACAGCTGATGCATGAACTAGTTTTTCGCTGATGATACAGGTATACCCTATAGCGCCAGTCCTGTGCATACCCATTGGAGAACTTGAACCCACCAGTTTAGTACCCGGCTCCAATCGGGACGCCAGATTTGACTACTCCGAGCCCTATCCCCGACGGTGACCTATCTATGGGTATTAACGTGTAAACGACTGATCTCCTACATTAGATTACTAATAGCATGCAATTTTAGTCCCTACTGACAATTTCATGAGTGCAAACGTTGACGGGTAGTCAGTGACAAGAGGAGCTCTTTCGATATATGCTGTATCGCCTATGTTGTTCCATTGTTGTCCTGCAGGTTGTCTTGGAGCAGTGTAACCTACTCGAAGTTCAGGTAACAAGATTATGTCTAAGTTCAACAACTGTTTACAAATGCATCTAGACAACCAGCCAACTGCCAAAAACCCGATGATATTCTCGACCTCAACTCCAGTTATTCATGTACAATGCCATTTGGAAATGGGGGTTGGTGGTGTTGGTAAAATGCCAAATTGAGTTACTTAACTTCTATTAGGGTTTTCACTCATCCTGCAGCCTTATAGTGATCTGTTTCAATTAAACAGTTTAGCTCACAAATGCTCCTCCTTTGAAAAATACAACTACCCTGCCTCGACTCATCGTTGAGATCGTCCCTATGTCCGTAGTTTTATAACCAGATTTGCAATGGTTTATAATTAATTTCCTTTGATC